CAGTATTTTTCTTTGAAACAATGGCATGTTTATTACTAATGACTTTTAAGATTCCAAAACTATGACCTTTTAACTAATTTCCAAAAAAGTGACTCATCCATTTGAAAAAGTCCGTTCCTTCTCTCTTCGTATTCTCTCTTAGCAACCTGATATCTTCGCACCACCACACTCCGCCAAAACCGCCGGACCAACTCGCCGCACAGGCCATTGCGGCTCTGCCTCTTCTTGCCTCGCCGGAAAGGTCGTCGTTTCTCTCCTCCCTGCTTCTCCGCCGCGCTGCTTCTCCGTCTTCCCTCGCTATTGCGCCTCTATGTCTCAAGGTTGAGGTTCGTTGACCTTCTTAAGATCAAAGAAGACCAGCAAAAGACCAGGTGGTTCAGGATGGCACCGGCTAGAGGTATTAGGGCGAGTAGGTCGTTAATGGATGGATGGAAAATTAGATCTTCTGGTGGGGCGACGACAGGGGCTAGGGTTTTGGTGGGGCGGCGACATCGGTTGTTGGGCGGAGTTGATATGATTGTGCAGGGGATTTGGGTTTGGAAGGGGGCTGGTGGACAGGGGAGGGATCTGATGGACAGGTGAGGGGGCAGGTGACGGGACAGGAGTATGTGGAGGGGGGAGGGGGGAGAGGGTCTGGAGAGGGGGCAGATGGTGGCGGCTGGAGTTTGTGAGACGGCGGCCAGAATAAATGTGGCAATCACTGTCGGGGGTGGCGGTAGTCACTGACCGGGGGCAGCGAGAGTCACTGGACGGGGCAGTCACTGGTAGGGACGACAACGGCAGTCACTGATTAGGGCGGTGGCGGCAGTCAATGATCGGGGCAGTGACAGCGGGAGTCACTGTACGGGGCAGCGCAACGACAGACACTGTACAGGTGGTCACTATTTGGTGGTTTGGTTCCAGTCACTAAAATTGCAAGTCATAGTAAATACATTAGTCACTACATATATATTAGTCATATTTTTGGGATTTTTTAGATGTGATCACTTTTTTGTCTTTCAGCTTTTATTTAGTAATATTCCTAAAATAAAGCCTTTTTCTTTTAATTTTTCGGGCACTTTTGAAAATCGGGGTTACTTTTAACGGTCTTTTCCAGACGTTTTTAACGGTGTGACCCTCTTGTGATAACGGAATTCAAACACACGAGCTATGTTGATAAAGAATGAAACACATGACTGATGGAGTATATGGGTCTGAGCCCCCAGACCCACATACTCAGAAGAACAGAAAGCACAAGACACTGAGTGGTGCCCTCGTCGGCCAAGGGACCCCCGTCGGCCGGAAAGGTACCAACTCAGAATATGATCCTGAAGCCAAGGAACCCGGGTGCCCTCGTCGGCCGCGCCCTCGTCGACCACGAAGACCTCACAGAACCGGATTTTACACTTACTCATTTGTACAGTTCATTAGTGGCTTTGTATTTGGCCCAGTAGCGGTCCAGTTGTAGATGGGCTTCCCAAGCCCAAGGCTTGGGAGCCCAGCCCGTATTTTCTCTATAAATACTCCCCTTGGGAGTAGTTATAGGGGTTACAAATTCATTCTATTGAAGCATATTACTGCATTTCTCTCTCTAGCTCTCACTTCTCTCTAGATATACTCTATCATTTGGTGCTCTCGTTGAGAGCTAGAACAATCAAGTTAGCACCCTTCGTCGCTGCCAAGCATAGCTAACCACTGATTATGGGAAGAGCTAAATCAAACCGCAACCTCGTCAGCAAGGTCATCCCTGAGGACCAAGAGGCCAGGGAGCACGATGAGGACGCCACGGCCGACCAGGTCGGCGGGGGGGGACGTCTTCCAGGAGGCCTTAAACCTCACGATGGACCTCCGCAACCAACTCAACGGCGGAGCCCCTGATGCCCGCATCGGCTTGGACAAGAAACGAGCTGAGAAGACGGACCACGCCCCGGCCCAGCCTATGGCCGCGGCCTCTCCGTTCGTGGATCCACAAGTCCAGGCCACGCTATCGGTCATCATCGCCAGCCTGGCCCAGAACCCCACCGTCCTCAGCGCACTCCTGCCAAGGACCGGGGGGAACGTCACTCCACCTCCTCAGCCCCAACCGTTGGCCGTCCAGATAGGCAACGATGAGGGGGTGATGGCCCAGGACACGGCGTCGTCCCACTCCCACCCAGCTTCCCCTCTTCGGCCTGGGCAGACCCCAGCGCGTGGAAAAGTCTCTGCCTTCAACAGGCTAGGTGACACGCGCCGTCGTCCGGTTTCGGAGAGGATGGCAGGACAGATTGGTGAGCGTCGGCCTGGCTCGCCGAGGGAAAGCTTGGGGTCTGTGTCCCGGACAGCGGACCAGCCCCGCCCGGACAAGGGCAAGGGGAAGTTGCACGAGGACGACGTGCGCCACCAGATCAACGCGGCTCACGACGAGCGCATGAGAAACCAGCCAGGCGCCGCTGCGTCCGCTAGGGACTCCCGGGACGAGGTCATCGCCCAGCTGGAAAGGAGGCTGGCTCAGATGGAGGCCAAGCACTCGAGCCAACATCCCTACGGCCGGCACCTCCAACGATCCCGGCCTCAACGCGCTCATGAACAAAGTCAGCGCCCTGGAGAGGGAGTTGACCGAGGGGCGAGGTGACCCCATCATCCAGGTCAGGACCAGGACCCCTTTCACCAACAGGGTCCTCTCGGCCCCCATCCCGGAGAAGTACAGGGGAAACGCCATCAAGTCCTACGACGGCCGATCAGACCCCCAGGAACACTTCAACCGTTATCAGAACAACATGCTGATGGTGAACGCGTCAGACGAATACCTCTGCCGTTGGATCCTCTCTACTCTCGAGGGGCCAGCGTACGAGTGGTTCAACGCGCTCCCCGAAGGGAGAATCGACTCATGGCAGGATCTTGCCCAACGCTTCCTCACCCACTGATAGGCTCATTCCGTCCCTATCTTTCACCCATATTTTGGGTGTGAATTGTCTAATTTTTATAATAAATTGGGTGACTATTGGGTGTTTTGAGTGAAAATTTGCTATTTTCGGTCCCGGTGGCATTCGTATTCGGTGTAGTATTTTTCTACATAATTTGACATTTTTGGAGTAATTTGATTGTAAAATTGCATATGATTAGCGGGTGTGGTGAGTTGCGATTGTACAGGCTAAATTTGCGGTGAATAATGCATTTATGTTAGAGCGGGACACTCTAAAGGCTCTTGAAAAATAGTTTTGCACAGCCCAAATGAAAAAAAACTACAGCAAGTTGTTTAATCCAAGTGCAGCCCAAAAAAAAAAGTGGGGTTTTTTTTTCCTGGAACTATCAGCCGCACCCATTCTTCTTTCCTTGGATTTAGCTAAGTCAGCCACAGATCAATTTCATTTTTTGAAGCACAACAGATTAGCCGCACGAGGAGAATCAACCGTAGCAGCATCGATTTTTCCTTCTCTTCACTTGGACGCAGCAGAATTAAAAGAAGATAGCAGCAGATTTTTCTTCTGTTTCCGATGAAATTAGCAGCAGCAGTAATCAAAAACCAAGGAGCTTCACTTTTCTCTCAATTTCTTCCATTCTAGTTTAGATTTCAGCAAGTATTGTAAGTGTAATCTTCATTTACGGCATTAGTTCTTGATTTTGGACTGAATTTCATACTTTGTTCTTCTACGGTTAATAATTTTCGAAATTCCCATTTAAATAACTCATTCCTTTCTTCCCAATTCTATCAATTATTTATCTAGTGCCTTACCATGTTGATCAATATTATTGCGATGTTAATTTTAATTATGAGTAGCTAATTCCATATAGGGTTCGAATTGGGGTTAGGGTTCATGGGTTCTTGAGGGTGTGAATTTAGTTTTTAAAATTCAATTAATTTTCTGGAAAATTGTATAAGATTACTCTTAATTGTCTATATGAATTTGATCGCCTCATATATGAATGTTTGGATTTAATTCAATTCTTGTCTATGGAATTTGCGTTAAATTAGCTTGGATCTTATACAAGCATTCTGATCTTAGAAATAAGTTAAGATTGTGATAATTTGATTTAATTCTTGTCTATGAGAATTTATTTCATTTTCTTTCCAGGAATAATTGAAAATTAATTTACTTAATTCTCATCTCGAAAGAACAACCAGAACCCGAACCATCCAATTTGAACCCTGTTTTAAATCTTGAATCAAGTTAATTTTTTACTCTTTTTATTTTTGCATTTGTTGTTTGTTAATTTTTTACCACCCGAAAACAATTTATTCGGAAAGATTACCATGACTTGTGCTAGCCTGTGATCACGGACTGTATTCAAAACTTCCTTTTTGCCACTCCTTGAGAGACGATACTCATGGTCTGGTTATTCTACGGATTAACCAACTACGTTTTACACACACAAAAAAATACATCGATCACCCACTTTGCCCGGAGGAAGCGTGCGAAGAAGTATTTCACCCACCTCCTCTCCGTCAAGCAGCAGCATGATGAGTCCCTCCGGTCATTCATTGATCGGTGGACGAGGGAGACCGAAGAAGTCGAGGGGGCCGATGAGCGCACCCTCCTCGCCTTGTATCAGGGAGCCCTCCGCAGCTCCCCGTACGCTAGGAGCCTCATCACCGACCCTCCGAGGTCGTACGCCAAGGCGCTCCAGCGCAGAGGCTTGTACGCCGACGCCGACGAGCTCCACAATCACAAGAAAGATGGGGCCATCCCTCCAAGAAGACAAATCCTTCGCCGGCCCCGGGTCCGTCCCCGGCCGGCCAGGGTGGCCAGGGCCGTCACGGCTCTGGTGGACAGAGTAAGAAAGATCGCCACTGGCGGCCGAGGTTGGAACGGCCGGGGGTTGCCCTCACTCATCCGGTCGGCATCATCCTCGACTATGCCGAGAAGCATGGCCTCATCGAGTAGGCTCCTCGGCCGACCGAGGAGGTCCTTGCCATCCAGCAGGGCGGCACATACTGCCGGTTCCACAAGAACTCGTCGCACAACACCGACGACTGCATCACGCTGAAGAAGGCCATCGAGCATCTTATTCGTCAGGGGGAACTCTCCCAGTTTGTTAAAGGTGGCCCACGCAAAAACACATAGGTAAACACCGGCAAACAAGGGGGCGAACCCTCTGTGAAGAAGCGGGAGATTGGTAGGCTCAGCGACGACGAGGACTTCGAAGAGCCCCCGCCAAAGAAGAATCACATTCACCTCATCGTGGGTGGGAACACTGGGGGGGACTCCGCCACTCAGAGAAAGAAATGGGCCCAATCCCTCTACATTGGGGAGGTGTCCCACGTTCCCCCCCAGCCGAAGAAGCAGCGAACGGAGGCGATCACCTTCACCGACAAGGATTTGCCTCCGGGGACGGAATCACACAGGGACACCCTCGTCATCCGATGTGAGATCGGTGACTCCATCATCCACCGCACTTACATCGATACGGGGAGCTCCGTCAACGTGATGTACCTGGATACCTTCTGGCAGCTGAAGCTGGACAGAGCTCTGTTGAAGCCGATCAAGACACCGTTATCCGGCTTCACCGGGGACTCTATCGACGTCGAGGGCACGATAGTCCTCCCCATGGAGGTCGGTGACGGCCCCCACCGCGCCAGGATTGACATGGAGTTCATGGTGGTCAACCTCCAGTGCGCCCACAACCTGATCTTGGGACGGCCAGCGCTGGAGGACTTGGAGGCCATCATCTCCATGAAGCACTTGTGCCTAAAGTTCCCCACCAATGACGGCATCGGCTACGCCAGAGGAAACCAGAGGATAGCCAGAGAATGCTACCTCAAGCTAACAAGGCCGGCCGAAAGGGAAGGACAGAGGATAGACACCATCACGGCAGCCGTTGCCAAGGACGAGGAGAGGCCGCATGCCGAACCGGCCGAGGAGGTCGAGGAAGTCCCTCTGAATACCTCCCGGCCGGAGCGGGTCCTCAGAATCGGGAAGCAGCTCCCTCAGGACCAACGAGACGCCATCCTCCTCGTCCTGCGGTCATACGCCGTTGTCTTCGCGTTGGGCCCGGACGACATGCCAGGCATCAGCCGCCAGGTGATTACTCACCGGCTGACCGTCGATCCGGCCTCCACGCCCGTCAAGCAGAGGCGGCGCTACTTGTCCGCCGAAAGGCGGGACTTCGTCAAAGGGGAGGTCGCCATGCTCCTCTCAATCAAACACATTAAAGAGGTGAAGTACCCGACGTGGTTGGCCAACGTCGTCCTCGCCCAGAAACCGCCGACATTCAGAATGTGTGTTGATTACACTGACCTGAACAAGGCGTGCCCCATGGACCCGTTCCCTCTCCCCAACATTGATCAGCTGGTGGACGAGACGACGGGGTGCGAGTTGATGTCGTTCCTTGATGCTTTCAGAGGGTACCACCAAATCTCCATGCATGAAGATGACGCTGAGAAGACGGTATTCATGACCCCAGAGGGAATATTTTGCTACCTCGTCATGTCCTTCGGACTCAAAAACTCCGGCGCCACCTACACTAGGATGGTGGCCAAGATCTTCAGGGCGGTCCTTGGCCGGACGAAGGAGGCATACGTTGACGACATGATCGTCAAGAGCAGGCAGGCCTCCTCCCACGCCGACGACCTCCGGGAAATCTTTGAAATCATGAAGGAGTTCAGGCTCCACCTCAACCCCAAGAAGTGCGCCTTCGGCGTCCAGGGCGGTAAGTTCCTCGGCTACATGGTCAGCCGGAGAGGCATCGAGATAAACCCGGAGAAGACACATGCTATCATCAACATGGAGCCGCCCCGCAACGTCAAGGAAGTACAACGACTGACGGGGCGCCTGGCGGCCCTGAACCGTTTCCTCTCCAGGTCAGCCGAGAGGGCAATCCCTTTCTTCCAGATCATGCGTAAAGCCAACAGCTTCAAGTGGACGACGGAGTGCCAGGTAGCGTTCGAGGAGCTGAAGAGGTACCTATCGTCCCCACCCGTGCTCTCCAAGCCCAAAGCCGGCGAAACCCTCTTCTTGTACTTAGGGGTGAGCACGTCGGCCATCAGCTCTGTGCTCATCCGTGAGGACGAAGGGGTGCAGAAGGCCATCTTCTACATCAGCAAGACGCTCAGGGAGGCCGAGCTCCGGTACTCCCCCATTGAGAAGACGGTGTTGGCCATCGTCCACACGGTGAAGAAGCTGGGGCACTACTTCCAAGCCCACGCCGTCCATGTGCTAACCCAGCAGCCTCTCGGCGCACTCATGAGGAGCCCCACCAGCTCCTCAAGGATGGTGAAATGGGCGATCTTCCTTAGCCAATTTCAAATTGAGATCAAGCCAAGGCCATCTATCAAAGGGCAAGCCTTGGCCGACTTCGTCACTGAATGCACAGCAAGGGAGACAGCCGTTGCTAACCCTGGGCCGGAGCCGGACGATACATGGATCCTATTCACTGACGGCTCGTCGGCCGCGAAATCATGCGGTGGCGGCGTCGTCCTCATATCCCCTGAAGGATTCAGAGCTTACTATGACATCCGCTTCAACTTCAGGGTATCCAACAACGAAGCCGAGTATGAGGCCCTCCTCAGCGGTCTCAGACTCGCTGCCGGCCTCAAGGCCAAGCATCTCAAAATCAAGTGCGACTCCAAACTGGTAGTGGGCCAGGTGGAGGGATCGTACGAAGCAAAGGAGGGACGGATGCGACAGTACAAACAGGCAGCAGAGGAGTTACTGAAAGCGTTTGAAACCCACGAGATCACTCAGATCCCAAGGGCCGAGAACGCCGAAGCCGACACCCTCTCCAAGCTCAGCTCAGACACTCCAAAGCACATCTTCAGGATAGCCAACATCGAAGAGCTGAGCATGTCTAGCATTCATGCCAGCCCTGTCTTATACATCCAACAGTGACCAGAGGACTGGATCTCCGAAATCGTCACCTTCATCACGACGGGGGAACTGCCCCCGGACGAGGAGAGGGCCAAACTTGCCAAACTCAGGGCCCCAAGCTACACCATTGAAGATGGCAAACTCTACAAATGATCCTATAATGGCACTCTCCTCCGATGCCTGCACCAGGATGAGGCCGATGTGGCCATGGAAGAAGTTCATTGTGGCGTTTGCTCCTCGCACCAGGGCCCTTTCAGCATGTCCCGACGTCTCGTCGTCCAGGGCTTCTTCTGGCCGACGATGGCGCGAGACTGTGCGGACCTAGCCAGGAAGTGTACCACGTGCCAGGTGCTCCAGAAGGGCCCTGGTCGGCCAGCCGTCAACTACGCCCCCGTCAGCACCGCAATTCCATTCTCTAGATGGGGGATTGACCTGGTCGGCCCCCTGCCCAGAGCCGCCGGGAACAACCGCTACATCATCGTCGCCGTCGACTACTTCACCAAGTGTGTCGAGGCGGAACCCCTGGCCAGCATCACGGGGGCCAGATGCCAAACATTTGTTTACAAGAACATCATCACACGCTTCGGTGTCCCCCAGGAGATTATATCAGACAACGGCACCCAATTCGAGGCAGCCCCTTTTCAGGAGCTCCTCCGGGAGTTTGGGGTGAAGCATCGTTTCTCCTCCGTTGCCTACCCTCAGGGCAACGGGCAGGTCGAGAACGCCAACAGGACAATCATGGAGGGGCTGAAGAAGAAACTCCAGGCCGCAGGGGGTAGTTGGGTCGACGAGCTCCCCAACATCCTGTGGTGCTACAGAACCACGCCGAGGAGGGCGACAGGTGAAACGCCTTTCGCCCTGTGCTACGGCTTTGAGGCAAAGGCACCCACGGAAGTTGCCATCCCCAGCCGGTGGGTGGAAAAATACGAGCCTGACGCCAACGAAGAAAACATGAAGATTGACCTGCACCTGGTCGACGAGAGGCGTGAGCAAGCTTACGTCCGAGCAGAGAACTACCGGCGTCAAGTAAAATCATACTATGACGCCAAGGTACGTTCCCGGAAATTTCAAGTGGGGGACTACGTCCTCCGTCGAAGGGAAGCAAGCCATCCGACAGAGGGTGGCAAGCTAGCATTGAAGTACGAAGGGCCTTACATCGTCAGTGCCATGGTCAAACCCGGCACCTACAAGCTTAAACGCCCGAATGGGTCCAATGTACCACGAATGTGGAATGTACACCATCTGGTGAAGTTTTATCAGTAATCCGAAGGAGGTGCAGACGGTGAAGCCCTCACCCCTTAACGGGTTACTGATTGAACGCCACCCTCGGCCTCGAGCCACTTATGAATAAAATCATGTTCCTCTTGATTTTTTCTCTGGAATTTAAAGAAAAATATTAGCAGGTGCCCTCATCGGCCACCTCAGAGCGAAAGACTCAGGTATGGCCGATATGGCACCTTGCATTTGCAACCTACGAAGCGACAAGCTCAGGTACTCCATTGTATTTTGTATCAGCGAAGGGCTCAGGCCTAGCTGAGAGAGCACATCGTCCTGGCCCCGTAAGCCTAGAGTGAAACGCTCAGGTATGACCGACGATGTCCCCTGGACGAGGGGTTCGCAAACGGCCCACGTCTTGAAACGGGAAGCTCACCGCGTCGTCCACGCGCCAGATCGCAGGACGACACGCCTGAAATCATGGCCGAGGTGACAAAATCCCAAAACTCAGGGATGGGCAACGACAGCCGTTGGAAACCGACCAAAAGTCTAGCCCGCGTCATAAATAGGCGACGGGACCCGCCCTGAGATCACGGACGTTATAAACGAAGTCCGAACCGACCGAAGGACGAGCACACCCTTCGGCCGAAGCCTGAAAGAAGGATACTCCCCTGAAATAGGGAACAAAAAAAGGAGGGAAGCCGAGGACCGCGCGCACTTGCCGGCCTCGAGCAATGAAAAATAAAATCCCCACAACTCCGGCCAAACTTGGCTAAGTACATATCAGTTGAACACAAGCGTAGTACCACTAACAGGTGACATGGACGATATGGCCACACGTCCATCACAGACAAGGGAATCATCATGGACGAAGCATACGCCTATAAAAAATTACAATCCTGAAAGATGATCAGGACGAAGCGGACAGTATCAATCCTGAGGATGACCAGGACGAAGCGGGCAGTATCACAGCATTCAAGAAACAATCCCTACCGGCCACAGCATTCCGGATGGCCGTTACAGGCACTGAGTCCCAGGCTGTTGGCCAAGCGCAAGATTTTTAGGGATTTGTCCAAGTGTTTGCCAAACACTTAGAGAAAATTCTAGGGAAAAAGGTTCCTCAAGAGAATCCTGACACTCAGAGAAACTCTGAGGAAAACAAAAGGCACCCTCATCGGCCACAAAGCCAGACCTTGGCCGATGAAGGTAGGGCCGTCTCTTGGCCGACAACGATACCACACGGAAGGAACTATGTCTTGCATTTATACTTAGGAAAATCTCTAAGTATTTAAATGGAGAAACTCTAGACGAAGCGGGCACCTGTATACTCGCAGGCCGTTAGCTACCTGTGTCTTGCATGTGTACTTAGAAAAATTTCTATGTTCAAAATACTAAGTTCAACTTACCGGAGGCAAGGAAGGAAGACATACAAGGCCGAAGGGGACAACAACCCGTGTACCCTTACCGGCCACAACACAAGGATCCAGGCCGACCTTCCTGATCAGATCAGGAACAAGGGAACACGACGGCCACGAAAAACACTGGGCCGACAACAACAACATTGGTTCAACACTTAGGGAATTTCCCAAAGCATTTGTCAACACTGAGGAGAGATTCAATACCAGGACGATGAGAACACCCATCTACTTGAAGTTAGACACTTAGAAATATTCTAACAAAAAAGAAGAATGGGACAATGCCAAGACGCAGCGGACACCTCAGCTTGCCCGCCTCAGTCAGGACGGAAAGAAAAACACCTAAGTGGATATAAAACACTTAGAAAATTTTTGAATGAATCCCAAGTGTTACGACAGCGAAGAAACACCGGACAGGCCGACCAGGCCACCAGACTGAATAGACTACCTCACGGACGTAGCAAACACTCGCGGGTGACCTAAGTTGTAACTTTTACACTTAGACAAATTTCAAAATTGAAATAGCAAAAGGGAATAAACATACAAGACATTCAAAGCCGAGCAGGACAGCAAAACGTTCATTCATAAACAATTAAGTACATGGGTGGGCGCTTCGGCCATTACATCAGATGGGCAGAAATATAAGATAATTATTTACAAGGTAGGGAACGGGGAGTAGCCAATCAAGTCTCTTGGGCGCCTCCATCATGCCCAGCCTGGGTTTGCTCTCCGGCATCTTCGGCTCCCTCCTCGACCTCAGTCTCCTGGCCGGCGGCAGCTGCAACACTGGTGGCATCATCCAGGAAGTCAAACTCGTCATAATCCGGCTCGCCGAGGCCGGAACTCTCGATTGGGGCCTCCCTCTCCGAAAGAGGAAGCTTGGCCTGCTCCTCGGGATCCTTCATCAGCTTGGGAAGCTTCAGGTTCCGCCTCGCCCACCCGGAGGTATAGTTCATGGCTTTGAGGGCACGCGCCAGCCGCCGACACAGGAGCCTCTGCATCCGCTCTTGGCCCATGTTGTAATACACGGCCATCTCCCTGCCAAAGTACTCTTGGCCGGCGGGGGAGTTCATTCCCCAATCTTCAAGCTTGGCGGCCACCACTTCGTGGCACCAGGGGAGCCGCTCGTCGGCCTTCCATCCCTCGGCCAAGAACTTTTGAACGGCCTCATCGGCGGCCTTCACAGCGGTAGCCTCGGCCTCAATCTTGGCCTTCACGGCTTCATCATTTTTGCGCCGTTCAGCCTCAAGCGCCCTCTGGCTCTCCTCAAGTTTGGCCAGGGCATCGTCCCTGGCTGCAGCTGCCTCATCGGCTCTCTTTTGCAGAGCCTTGGCATCCTCCCGGAGCCGCTCCAAGCAGGCCACCGCCTCATCGGCCGAGGCAGCCTTTTGCTCGAGCTCCTTCAGACGAGCAATCTCCCGTTGCTGCCTCTCGTGGCTCTACATGAGCATGAAGGCACCCTGCACAACAAAGGCAAACAAAAACTCAGGCAATGACTTCACCCGGACGACGAGAAAAACGACAAATAAAAGGAAAGGGAACTTACTTGGACGATGAGGTCCATCCCGCCTTCGTACACCTTGACGTCCCCGAGCCTCTTGAGGTAGGCCCGATCTTTGGCCGGCATGGCCTGGGCCAGCACATCATGGCCGAGGACGCCATCGTCAAAGACACCCCTGCCGACGGGGTACTCCACCATTTTCTGGTAGGTGGCAGCGGCAATCTCCTTGCCGGCCCTCTTCGTCCGTGGCTCCTGGACGAGAGGGAGCGATTGGGCAGCATCGCTTGGAGCAGCGGTAAGATCCACAACGGGACCACTATCGTCCACATTTGGGACGGTCAGAGTGCTGACCTCATCGGCATGGGAAGGAGACGGTGCCCTCTTCGTCTTCTTAGTGACATTCAGGCCAGCCTCGGTCAATTTCTTCTGGCCGTCAGTGGGAGGCCTCTTCTTCTTGGAATGGGCAGGCTTCGGGGCCGCACCAGCAGTAGCCCCGCCCCCCTCGGCCGCGGCACGTCTGGCCGCCTCGGCCGCCTTTGCAGCCAACTCCTCGGCCGCCTTGGCCTTGGCTATGGCCATGATTGAACGGCGATCCATAACAAAATCTACACAAAGGAAAATGAACAGATTAGCAAGGCAAAAGAACAAAAAACAAAGGAAGAAAGCCGGAGAAAGTATTACCATCGGCCTCAGCAGGAATGCCCAAATCCGGGCCGTCGGCCTCTTCGAAGGTAGTGGTCATCCTCGGCCAAAGTTGGACATCGTCCTCCTTGTCTCCATACACATAGTACCTGAAGAAGTCGAGGGCGGTCATCTTATATTCGGTGATGTAGTCTTTCACGTTCCTCGGCCCCCCTTCCAAGAACGCCTCCACCTGAGCGTCCAAGATCGAACTCCTCGGCGGGTCGTGCAGATTGAACCTCCCGGTGTGGCCGAGAGAGGGAAACTCAGTGCCATTCTCACCAAGGGATACAAAAACGAACTTGCTCTTCCACCCATGAATGGACGAAGGCAAGTCCGTGAAGCTCCTCTTCTTCGGCAGCTGTTGGAGAGTAGCATAGGCCGCACAGTTCTTGTGGCTTCCTCGGCCGATCTGATAAAGATTCATGAACAGAGCCGTCGTCGGCCTGTAGCCCAACTCCTCACAGCGGAGCAAGAACCCCACCATCAACGAGTAGCTGTTCGGGGTCAACAAGGCCGGAGGGAGTCCCACCATGTCCAGATATTCGGTGATGAAGGGATGAAGGGGAAACCTCAGCCCCTTGGCGAAACTCATCGGGTATACTCCGAAGTATCCCGGTGGCGGATGGAGTACATGGTCCGTCGGCCTGGGTGCCCTAACCCTCCCGAACGGCCCCACGTACATCTGGGCAACTAAGTAGTCAGCCGCGCTGCTCTCCGGCTTGATCAGGAAAATATTTGTGAGATCCAGGTAGGAGACGCCCGGCCCACTCTTCGGCCTCCTTATTCTCTTCGGCTTCTCTGCTCCCTTCACGGCAGACACCGGTCTCGGGCACGGAATAACAGCGGAGGTGGACGCCCCGTCCACCACTCGGGACGCACCTGCGTCCTCACCTTTTGAAGACGAGGCGGACTCCTCGTCCTCAGCTTCGTCGTCCACCTGCTCTCCGGACTTGTAAGGACTTAAACGCTCTATCTCTTCCTCGAACTCCTCAAGCACCTCATAGTCGAGGGACCTAGTGGAGGGCTGGTCGTCGTACGGATAGTATTCTTCGTCTAAGCTCTTCATCATAACAACTATTACGAGCCTAAGGGGAATTACTTTGGATCTAAGGCGTTTTGTCCACTAACACTAGATCAAGGCTCAGGGAAGCAAAGTATGCAAAGGAATTGAAGAACAAGTCAAGAACTAACCTTGAAGATATGCAGAACTCGAAGAACACCTTGAAGACTCTCTCTCTCTAGAAATTCGGGCAGCACCTCGATATCTCAAGAATGCAAGTAAGGAACCGAATCGGAGGAGGGGGGTATTTATAGACAATCTCCAACGGTCACTACACGTGGCACCATATCAATGGCCACCTCAGCGGTCACCTTCCCAGCAGCCGATGAGGTGCCACCCCTTCAGAAATGGGCCAGTCTCGTGAGCCAACCTACCGGCGGAGTAAAAGCCTACGGATCACACGGACAACGAGCGCCCACAACGGCCTATACATTTGCCGGCTTCACAAGTGCCAGCTAGCACCCACAACGGCCTATATACTTGCCAAGTTCACAAATGCCAACAATAAGGAGATGACAACGGCCAGGAACGTCATGAACGCCCGTGACGGCCACAGAACCAAAGGAACAAAGAACCCGCACCCATCGGCTCTCCGTAACGACCTTTGATGATAACTCTTTACAAGCGATCTGCGCGCAAGGGTTATCCCATAGGGTTACCTTGGCCAGAAAATCGCCATAAGGGTTGGATCCAGGGGCACTACGGAGAGGCCGCTTCGGCCAGGGACTCAAGCAACTCCTTCACCCCTCACACCCTTCGGCCTGAAGCAGTGGGGGACTGGGGGACTACATCGGCCTCAACAAAACAAAAAGGAAAAATGCAAACACAAATATAACCACAAAGCATGGCCACATCGCCCATGTATCACACGGCGCCTCGTCGGCCAAAGGCACATAACGTCATCAGCAACGGCCAACTGGCCACCTAAGGCAAGGACATTCATCGTCCCCCGCCAACAGTAAACCATAATGGGCTCTTCGGCTAGGGACACGAAAGCCAATCAGCGACCGCCAAAAGGAGTGCGCAAGCACCCTTACCGGCCACCCAAAGGAAAGGACACCATCGTCCTCGAAGCAAGGTTCAACCTCAACAGTCTCATCGGCCCAAATGTAAATCTCAACCACCAACGTCCAAGAAAGGGAAAACGCGCCTTCAACGGCCACCATCGAAGCAGGACACTCATCGTCCCCAAACGAACACACCAAGGAAACAACGGCCTCCCCGTCCACAGCGAGGAGCAGGTGACGGCCAAGCACAGAACAAGGTCACCAAAAGGGAAACAGCGCCAACGCCGCAACAGCTGACGGCTTGGGAGTGCCCGCATCGGCCAAAAGCACCAAAGCACGGGAATCTACTCTCCTTCACTTCGTCTACGTCTCAGCTTAGAGAGTGGGGGACTCCTGATGGAGTATATGGGTCTGAGCCCCCGGACCCACATACTCAGAAGAACAGAAAGCACAAGACACTGAGTGGTGCCCTCGTCGGCCAAGGGATCCCCGTCGGCCAGAAAGGTACCAACTCAGAATATGGTCCTGAAGCCAAGGAACCCGGGTGCCCTCGTCGGCCGCGCCCTCGTCGGCCGCGCCCTCGTCGGCCACGCCCTCGTCGGCCACGAAGACCTCACAGAACCGGATTTTACACTTACTCATTTGTACAGCCCATTAGTGGCTTTGTATTCGGCCCAGTAGCGGTCCAGTTGTAGATGGGCCTCCCAAGCCCAAGGCTTGGGAGCCCAGCCCGTATTTTCTCTATAAATACTCCCCTTGGGAGTAGTTATAGGGGTTACAAATTCATTCTATTGAAGCATATTACTGCATTTCTCTCTCTAGCTCTCACTTCTCTCTAAATATACTCTATCAATGACCCTATCTGAAAACTGACCCAACCACAAGTACCTTTTCCGTACTTTTCCCAAACAATTTTAAGCTTATCAAATCTCAAAGTAAAAAAAAATAAGATAATAAAATGAATATGCACATTTCATCGAGTAAGAATCTTTGTTTACAAAAAAAAAATTAAAGAAAGAAAATTTGATGCATTTAGAATAAAGATTGGGGAAAATATTTATGAGTTTATATGAACTTGGAAACTCTTTTTGATTGATTGACAAGTTTCTTTGATTGAGTGTCTTTGTCTAGACATAAGAACATGAGGAAATTTCGGTTTTTATTAATATATTATATTAAGTATAATAGAGTTTATTGAAATAAAATTTTAAAACGGTTTGGTCTGGGTACCCGTTTTTTCAAATTTTAAGAACCATTTGATTCCTATGTTTTTAAGGACCCACCCCGCCCTGAATTGTTTGGGTTTTCTAAAATTAGGACCGACCCTAACCCGCTCCTAACATGTATTACCCGGCCCGACTCGTGGTTTTTGTACCCGTTTGCCCACCCCTAGCGCACAATACACGACATATGCTTTGCACAAAGCAGTAGCCATCTCCGGCATTACTGACGTCGCCGCCATCTCCGGCACTGCCGCCATATCCGTCGTTATTGGCACCGCCGCCATCTCATGTACCACCGCCATCAACATCTCAGGCTCTACCGGCATCGCCGCCCATTGCCGATGTGTCATCCGGTGTCACCGCCACCTAATCGAACGTCGTCTTCACTCATCTGCACTTCTAACATATTCAACAACACCGGCTGCAACCACTCCAATCTGAGTTTAGATCTCTGACCTGGAAAGAAGAGTAAAACAAATTGCCATGTCATCTTACTATCCTTATAAAAATACAAAAGATGAAGAATATTGTCATGTCAAGGTAAAAAGTAATAATACCATCTTACAATCCTTATAAGCAATATTTGCCATTTTTATAAGGTCACAACTCTGGTACTTATTTAAAAATTGGGGTACCGTACCTACCAATCACTTGATTGGTCCAAATCATTATATCATTTTTAATTTAGATTTAAATAATTCAACTGCAACATTCTGATTGGTCCATGTGGACAAATGTATGGTACATTTGTCGAGGTAAAAAATTGCCATCTTGCTAAATATAATGTCATATAAATGATATTAGTTTGAAATCAATGTTCAAATCATTTGTGATTACTGGAAAAAAACATTGTAATTTTGGAGGGGCTTAAAATTAATCATAAATAAACTAATAAAGTTCAAAATTATGAGCCCGTTTGGTAACACTGAGATCGGCTGAATCGGCTGATCCTGATGAAATTTATGAAATTCTGGCTTAAGTGGCTGTATTGGTTGATTCTGCTGATTTATGGAAAAAATAAATTTAAAATATATTTTATTAATAGAATAAAGAAAAAATTATATGTAAAAATAGCTAAAATGGTCTTCTATAGTAACTTCAGCCGAAATAGGCAGAAAAGTAACTTCAACCTTACTTTTTCTTATTATTACACATTTCACCACGCGAAATCAAAAGTTACGTGTTTGGTGAAAAAGTTGGTTGATAAGCCTGATAAGCCGAATAACGGTATCTAAATAAAAACTAAACCGGCTCTAAATAAAAAATGATTGGAATGAAGTAAAATAAAAACTAAAGACGAATTGCGGCTATGCCCAAAGCGAGAGGCTTCATCATCTTGATAAATGATACTCCCTCCGTCCCCTTTTAAATGTTCCATTTTACCATATTGGGATGTCCCTATTTAATTGTCCCATACCTTATTTGGTAAAGTTTGTGTGGCTCAAAATCATTCTTACTTTATTCTTACTTTATCTATTAATATCAACCACACAAACCTACTTTTCTTAAAACTCGTGTCACCCTCTTCCGGGACATTTAAAAGGGGACGGAGGGAGTACTCGGTAAATCACACCACAAGAATTTCACAACATAATCCAATAAAATAATTTGATAATAAAGTGCAAAGCGCACATGAAAACAATTTGATAGCAATTCACAGCATCATCTAATCTAATCACTCCTTTTCCTTATCCGTTGATGTATCTTCAAGGTTTCTTTTTTGGAAAGATACACATAATAAAAACAGAGATGGTGAAGGAAGAAAGTGGAAGAAGGAGATGAAGAAGGAGAAGAAGGAGAAATCAATACTTACCTATGTCCATCAATTATACCACACTTCGCCACCACCCTGCCTTTCATCGTCGGAGAATTTACAGAAATGAAATTAAAGATGCAGGGGATAAAGATGAAGGAGTTAGTCGGTGGAAAAGCTACAGTGATGAGTGTGAAGCCAGAGACGACAAGATAGAGGAGGGGGGAGTGGTTATTCAGGATAATTTATTGAAGGGTATAATTGTAAAGATAGGTAAAGATGAAACGGCCGAACATCTTATTAACTCCTAGCGGACCGGCTCAGACCTAGGTTTCTCTAGGGTTGCGAGGTATTTTTGTGGCGGCGATCTCCTATTGTCGGCACGTAGTCTGGTCGCTCACCAACGAAGCATGCGGACGGGAGGCTAGGGTTTACCCTAGGTTCGAATAGGTTTGGCAGCTCCATAGATTTGTCTGGCGGTTCTACTTTGTCGCCGAGCAGGTGTAGAGAAGGGCTCTTTCGTATAGTGCACTGGGTTAGCGGCTACTCCGCTTTGATTCAGACGGAGAAGAGTTCTGTGGACGAATGTGGTGAGGAGGCAGGCTATTCGGATGATAGGGATGCGGAGGCTGCTCGCTTTCGGACTGGTTGTGTTCGTGCAGTATTTTGGCCAAGAGATGGAGGCGATCACGAACAGATCAAGGTGATTAAGGAAGAAGATGGAGTGATGAAGATCCGCCCCCTCCTGAACTACTGTCATGGAGAAACTTCGAAACTAGGGATTGGAATACGACGCTTGAAGGATGGATTCAGTTGCTCCATCAATTTTTCTTGCTTAATTTCGTTTTACCCATATTTAGTTTGTTAATTATGAACTATGTTGCTATCGTTTTGCTTTATGTTATAGTTCATGGTTCTAGGTTTAGTACGATGCCTGAGATTTCGGCTAGATTTGATATAGTTAGAGGAGAGTGGATCTATTTATTCAGCAATAGATGCATTAAGTCCGTCTGGTGATTAGCGATTCGTATTGCTCTTATCTCTAATCGTAGAGCTAATAGTAGTAGTTGGAATGAAGGTTGTAGTCTGTATTGGTCACTTTGAGATTGAGGTTACGATCCTGATTCTAATAATATCAATATAGACTTTTTCTTTTCAAGAAAAAGATTAGATAAGTTTTAATTTTCTGCTCTTAAACCTTCAAACATAGAAAACGGACCCTATCAGCCGTTATCATTAGCGTGTTGCAACACGTTGGGTAGCTTATTTTTTTACGATCAGCTATTACGACACAGTGACACACACATAAAGGAAACTATGAAAGATTCAACGCAAGTAATGGGAAGAAGTCGACGATCATTTCTTGTTTGGTAATTGTGCTCTCAATCTATTATAATTGTTTTGGGATAAGATTGTTTCGGGTGTGATACGATGCACCATATATATTTGCTTTTGAAAAACAATCTGAGATCAAATCAATTCCACACATTGCTAAGATGGATTCATCTCATGCACTAATACGAAAATAACATCATTGAAACAGAAAGGACAATGCTTTGGGGCTATTAGCCTATGGGTGTCCCTAAAACGCCTTGCAACTTTGCAAGTATTGGCATGGCCCTCCCCCACACCAATAATTCCATAAATTAAAGAAGGAAGAAAAGACTAGTAATATAATCCTATCTATCTATTGGACAGAGCTGAGGATGGCCCTTAAATGCCATCAAATGACCTACAAAGTGTCTGCACAAATTGTGAGGTACCTTCCTGGCTGCTTCTTGCGTAACTATACTATACTCCAGCCTCCAGCATTCATTCAATTCATAAAACGTTGTTTCGGATGATTAGTTGCTTTGTGCAGTTAATTCAATGGCAATCAATATGCCCACTTAGGTCCCACCTTGTTTTCTTGTCCTTCTAATCACTACCTACTTCCTTATACCTTCTCATTCAACACCAAAACAAATCCAGAGTAATATTCATGAGGTGTACCGTTTCCGCCACCTCTATCATGGCCGCTACTTTTACATATCTGCTCATAGTTGTCTTCCGAACATCACAAATCATAAAAACAATCATTCAAACTATTTGCACTGAAATGGAGGTTCAGATGTTTTGAATTTCCACTAAAGCTTATGTCACTAGTTAATACTTTTATGCATGTTAAAACATTTTAACTTTGTAAGTGAGTATTGTACTAGCCTTGTCTGGTCTGGTTTGACTCCAAATTCGAACTAGATTCAGTGAAACCGGCAACATCTTGACAGATTATAGAACATGGTTGAGCGCGCAATCTCTTGAGTCGCTCATTTATTTTCACAATTGGTTGAAGTTCTCCCATAGATGATAGGACTCAAGAAATTAACATAACACCGCCACACCACTTAATAGAGTAAACGACAACCGATGCTAGAAGTGAGAGTTCTGAGAGTTCTGAGAGTTAAAAGATTCTGTCGCTACTCACCCTCCTCTGGGTTGCTATTTGCTAATAGTCTCAGGGATGTTTCTATATAACCAGAGTTACTGCACACCTCTGTACTAATTCAAGATTAGGTCCATCTTTATTCTCTCTTGGAGTATTACAGTTGAAAACGAAGTATATATTGTAATGACTCCTCCTAATACCATCTCTTCATGTGATATTAAGTGTGCATAACAAATTAACAATCTATATTTAAAATTCAACAAAAACCAATTTGCTATTGAGAAGACGTACAATTACTCGAATCATTTTACAACTCCTGAAGAAATAAATATACAATAACAAAAATCCACTTCAAACAGTTGTTGGGAAAGCTAAACCTGTCGTATTTCAAAAGCCTAAAAAAGTCGCCAAACTTATAATTGAAAGGGGGGATATTATTACATGTAGCATATACAAACACAATATGTCCTTTATTAGTTTATTGGAAAAATACAAGAATCAAATGCTCCATTGGAATAGATAATGCAATGACACAACTCACTTAAGCAAGATTTATTGTGAAGGAGACATAAGGATGCACATCAGTATCACCTCCAAAAGCACCGACTGCACCATCATCCTCTGCTTTCCAGTAGGTGCTACATTTTGCAGAGACAGTTTTTTTTAAAACATACGGTTGAAGAGATTTTCACAATAGTGTGCAGAAGGGTTGTTATATTTTCAAACTGTTAGCTTTTTAAACGTTTAAACCTTTTGTCCCTTTTACCAAACATTTCTAGTCTGAAATTGAACTATATACCTCCCATTTTTTATTTATAAAAGGACTTCTCTTGAAAGACAAGTCTATTTTCATCCTCCATTAAAATCACTACAGTTCAGACACGTCTTTTGGATAGTAACAGAAAGGTAAATAATTCACACAATTACCTGTTTGAGTTATCACAGAGTGACTCAAGAATTGAACGCACTTTCTTCTCGCTTTTCACAGATGGTGACAAGACAATAGACTGAAATGCATTTTAAGTTGAATGAAAGTTGAAAATATATAAGTTTTTTTAAAAGGAAAATCATACACATGACCGTAAAAGGGATAAATATAAAGAAAAGTGTGTGGTCATCACCAAAAAGGATGGAGGCAAGCCATATCTTAATATGCTCTCAGCAAAGACACGTACGGCACAAAAGTGCATCCAGGAGCTGAAAACCTGCAGGAAAACATCAGAATGGCATCTAGAGCATCAAGATAGGTACATATTATTTTCGGCACATACCATATCAGTACCTAACTATGCAGTTAATACACTGCTGAATGCTTGTTGAATTTAGAAACATGTGGAGAACATGATAAAATGAAAAAGAGATCCCTCTGAAGACTAAATATTCGAAAGCAAAAGTATGAAAAAAAGTTAATTCATACACCAAAGGAAACTCAGTGTATGAAACTATGCAATTATGCATAGAACACTTCCAAAATCTTCTCCATTATCCTGTCATAAAAAGATCCTAGCAGAGAGGACAAGTACATAAAACATCGTCACTGTTTTTGCAGTGTTAACTAACTTTGGAAAAATAGACACTTAAAAAGAGCTATTACTTTCATGATGCTTGCTGCAACTAATTGCGAATAAAGGGCATCCGGCATAAATGTTTGTAACTACACCTCTTTTTGCATGAGTGTTAACTACGTTTAGACAATTAATTGGCAATTTGGCACTGAAATCAATCACAATTAATTGGTAATAGAGAGGTGGTGATGGTAGTGGTGTACCAAATGAAAATAAATGATGAGCAAAATAGGACACTCCGACACTATAAAAATATACACTAACAGGTAACAATGTGTTATTTCCTCAAAGGAGTGAGCATAGGGTTTGAGTTCACCTCACCCTTCCCGCATTAAGAACTTTAACCTAACTGAGATGA